CATGGCAACTGTTGGTAGTTTTGAAGTTTATATATTTTCTTGGCAAACTTCAGTTTTTGACATTTTTGACGGGTTTTTGACGGTTTAAACCAGTATTATACCCTTGTCATGTCAAAAACCACTTTTTGACGTCAAAAACCCAACCCTGACTCCTAGTATACTTTCCAGATTGCGGATTATCTAATATTTTACGAGTCAAAATTCTGAAATATTCGCAAAAATATTATGTTTGTTAAAGAAAAGGTCATTTATTTTAAATCTCATTTCGTAACTTTAAATATGCTCTGCTCAAATTAATTTGCAATTTTAAGATCTGCGCTTTGCCCCATAATCTGATCAGTAGATTAAAGAATACAGAAAGGAAAAGAATTCCAGCTCTTCCAATATGTAACTAACGCAAGGAACTGCTCGGTGCGTTTATGCCATACAAGAAAAACAACTTACAGGGTGAGCAACATACCCTGATATAACAGAGCATCATATATAATAAATTTTACTGCATGCGCATAAGAAGCAAACAAGACAGTCAGGAGGTGCGTCACTTGTACAGGTTGATGGACAACTCTACACGTACAGGGGTCTGTTTATAAGAAATTTGGGTCCGTTAACGGACCCTTCACAAAATATCCTTTCACAAAAACGGAGCCCTCACAAAATATTTTAACTTAAAAACGGACCCTTCACAAAATAATTTATCTTTTAATCGGACCCTTCACAAATTTGTTTATCTTCATTATTGTTTTGTTAATCGAATAAACCCTTCCCAGGAAGGGGGGGGGGAAGAAAGACAGATGTAAACAAACTAAATTTTGTCTTCGGCAGACGCTTCTTCCTTTATTCGTCCGAAATAAATATTCTGTGTTCAGCATTATAGGCTAAATAGCAAATATTTATATGTTGCATCTCTTATTTAGTAGCTGCAATTGCTGTTTATTTTTTCAAATTTAATTTTTTCAATTATAATTTTACTGTATTGAGCATAATCTTGTATGTCTTTACAATTTAAAAACTCCTTGAAAAAGTTTTTTTGCAATAACGGACCCTATTTGCACAAATTCACAAAAGCGGACCCTGGTTGAAGGAATACGACTTAACGTTTATTTTATATTTTAACAAATTACGAGTTATTCTTTCACAATTTTACAAAAACGGACCTTTCACAAAATTACTGGACAGACCCCTGATGTATAGTAGCGTAAGCTTTATACCGCCGTCCTCCATTTTATTCTTTCTCTCTATCTCTAAATATGTTGGCAGATTTACCTAACATGGATGGTATAAATGTATCGTCACAAAAATATACTTATTAATATTTTTTTATATTTTTAATTTTTTATAAACAGTACAGTATTGCAATAGCTGGTCGCAAAAAAAAAAATGATATAAAGAGAAAGCTTTTCAACTCCTTCCCTTCCAGTAGTGGTTGGGAGGAAAGGAGGAGGGAAACCCGTTTCAAAAACCTCTGCTGCAGTGCCCATAATTTTGTTTTTGCCTTTATACTACATAAAGACAGCGCTAAACCTTGGGAGACCAGTTTACACTATATCTATCGAAGCTAGCCTTCTCCCCTTATGTATATTCTTTAATTAGATAATATGTTATTGAAAATAATCTGTTTTTTTGAAATTGACTTGGTATTTAAAAATGTATTCCAATTTGTACGTAACTAAATAAATAATGCAAATAATAAAAGGCAATATAAGTTACAGTTTATTCCAGTTTGTTTTCATAACAACTTTGGACTTAGAAATACATTAAGACGTTTGTACAATTTCTTCATCCTATAGCATCACTCATACCAGAACATTTTTAAGAACATCAACATATTTTGTCATTTCCGCAACTGACGTTTCTGAATGATTTTCAAGACATTGAAGCTCAAGTGATCGGATGATTTCCAGTGCTGCAATTAAAGCTTCCATTAGCAGTTCGATGAACAATTGTGGATAATTTAAGAAGTAATTTTCGAATTTCATGTCTCCAAATATGGCTGAGAGTTCACGAACAAATACTCTTAAGTTGAATGTTCCTGGTGAATGTCCCTTCGATTTCAAAATGGCAGAAATCAATTCTTTCACTCTTTCTGTTCCCGTTTTCATGATGACGGCAAATATATTCTCAAATTGCCTCAGCGATAAGAGAGCATGTTGCTCCCTTTGTGATGGATACAAAAATTCGTACTGCGGTCTTCCAAAAGGTCGATCGCCAAGATCAACTTGGTAGTGCGTTTCTTTCTCACCTCTCGGATTAACAACAACAAACCCTGGATAGCCTTGTTTGACCGCTCCAGATCTTCCTGGTATTATAATTTCAATAATTTGGCCATGAGCATTCGTCCTATATCCTGGCTTCAGACCGGGCTTCTCTTCTCGTAGCCGTACCATTTTGCCATTTGGACATTTAATTCTTTCCGGGATTTCACCAGGGTGCTGTGGTAAAAGAAGTAACATTATTTCGTTATTAGTTCCCATTACTGCTTGAGGCTCTAAATCCGGAGATCCGTATATTATTTTATAATCAGGACGTTTGGGTACCACCCCAATTTGTGAACCAGTAACTTTCATTGGAGTTGTACTTGTTTTCTGTGGTAAAAGTAATAATATGATATGCCCATCAGAATCTGTAACAGCTTGAGGTTCTGTATCAGGATTACAATATATTACTCTGATTTCTCTTCCATCAGGGCCAATGACCATGTGTGGCGTTGTTCCATCTATTACAATCTGCCTTACATAGTCTAGACTACGCAGGGTCGTAGACGGCGTTGTCGTTGAAAGGGCAGGAAGGATGATTTCGATGATATCTCCATTTCCATTTGTAACCGTTCCAGGTGTTGAACCTGGGAAACTTTCGATGAACGTTATAAGTTGTCCGTTCGGACCAATTATCGGAGCAGGTGTTGAACCTGGATGCTGCGGCAATATTAATAATATTATATGACCTTCATTATCTCTTATAACTTGCGGTTCGGATTCTGGAGCACAATATATAATACTAATTTTTCGATTTCCTGGACCAATAATAACACGTGGTGTAGTACCACGAATAACGATTTCCATGGTATTTGTTGAAGTAGGTAGAGTTGTCAAATATAAAGGTATGTTCGAAGTAGTAGCAATAGTGGAAACAGTAGTTGTTCTTAAAACAGTTGTCGTGAGAGGTTTCTTTGTTCTTTCACGTTTACAATATATAATTCTAATTTTTTGACCATCTTGACTTTTTATTAAATGTGGAGTTGTTCCATGAATGATAACATTTCTATGACCTCCTCTTTTAGTCGAAGCTTTTTCGAAAACTAATGGACGATCAAATAATATTGGTGTCGTACCAGTATAACTAGGTTTCGGTAATATTATTTCTATTACTTGTCCTTCAGAGTTTGTAATAGCACCTGGAGTCATTCCTGGAAGCAGTTCAACAAATTTTATCTCTTTTTTATTTGGCCCAATTATTGGTCCCGGAGTTGTACCTGGACGTTGTGGCAAAACAAGTAAAACTATTTGTCCCTTAGAGTTAGTCACAGCATATGGTTCTTTCCTGTTATCGCAATAATCAATAGGTTTCCTTGTCGTTAATTGTTCAGTCAGAGTAATTTTTAGAGGTTTGGGTGTAGTTGAAGATTGTGTTACAGATATCTCTATTGGAGGAACTGAAGTAGTTGACTGAATACGTTTTTTGGGCACTTTCTCCCTTCTGCAATAAACTATTTTAATTTCTTGATCACCATAACCTTTAATTACATGTGGAGTAGTACCATGAATGATAACTTCTCTCATGAAGTCTGTACGTGAAGTAAGTTTTTCAAAGATTAGTGAACGATCAAATAAAATTGTTCTTGGTGTTGAACCTGTAAAACTAGGTCTAGGTAAAATTATCTTAATTATATCTCCTTTAGAATTCGTCACGGTTCCTGGAGTCATTCCGGCCTGACTTTCGACGAATTCTATCATTTGTCGGTTGGGCCCAAGTATTGGACGAGGAGTTGTTCCTGGACGTTGCGGCAAAATGAGTAAAATAATTTGACCGTCAGCGTTAGTAACAGCTTTCGGTTCTGAACTGTTATCACAATATGGTAAAGGCGTTTTCGTTGTAGTAATAGTTGTTGTTTGCTCCGTTATAATAGAAAATGGTAATTTCTTTGTTGTTTCTGTAACTGCAATTGAAAATGGTTTCATGGTCGTTGTTATAGCAATTGAAAATGGTTTCTTCACCGTTGTTCTTTCTGTTACTGCTATTGAGAAAGGCTTCATTGTGGTGGTTGTTATCTTCGTCGCCTTTTCACGCTTGCAATATATTATCTTAATCTCCCCACCATTCGGACCTTTTATCATGTGCGGAGTAGTACCATGTATGACAACTTGTCGCATAAAATCTAATAGCCCGGTAGCAGGTTTTTCAAAGATTAATGAGCGATCATTTAATGTTGTTTCTGTGTAGCTATGTCTCGGTAATATAATTTGTATTATATCTCCTTTACTGTTCGTAACCGTTCCAGGCGTGGTTCCTGGACGACTTTCAATGAACTTTATCGTTTGTCGATTTGGTCCAGTTATAGGGCGAGGAGTTGATCCTGGTCGTTGCGGCAATATGAGTAAAATAATCTGTCCGTCGGAATTAGTGACAGCTTTTGTCAAATGGTTTGGCTGTAGTCGTTGTTGTCGTCTGTTCCATGGTTATTGAAGACGGTAATTTTGTTGTTGTGGTCGTTCTTTCTGTTGGTGGGGGTGGAGCTTCAGTGTGCCCAAAATGTGTAGTTTCCCCACTTCCCAATATTCCAGTAGAATATGATGTTGTATAAGTATATCCTACACGCTTGCAATATATTATTCCAATATCTTTACCATCTGGACCCTTTATCATGTTTGGAGTAGTACCATGAATAACAACTTGTCGTATAAAGTCTAGTCGGCTAGTTGTTGTTTTTTCAAAGATTAATGAACTATCATTTAATGTTGTACTTGTTGTTCCTGTGTAGCTATGTCTCGGTAATATAATTTGTATTATATCTCCTTTACTGTTCGTAACCGTTCCAGGCGTGGTTCCTGGACGACTTTCAATGAATTTTATCGTTTGTCGATTTGGTCCAGTTATAGGGCGAGGAGTTGTTCCTGGTCGTTGCGGCAAAATGAGTAAAATAATTTGTCCGTCGGAATTAGTGACAGCTTTTGGTTCTGTACTGTTATCGCAGTATCGGATTGGTTTTTTCGTCGTTGTTGTTCGTTCAGTCGTTCTAATTTCAAATGGTTTGGCTGTAGTCGTTGTTGTTTCTGTTATTGCAATTGAGAATGGCCTCTCCGTCGTTGTTGTTTCTGTTACTGCAATTGAGAATGGCTTCTTTGTCGTCGTTTCTGTTACTGAAATTGAAAATGGTTTCCTTGTCGTTGTTTTTTCGGTTACTGCAACTGAGAAAGGCTGTCTCGTGCTTGTTTCTGTTACTGCTATTGAAAATGGCTTCATAGTCGTTGTTGTTTCTGTTACTGCAATTGAGAATGGCTTCTTTGTCGTGGTTTCTATTACTGAAATTGAAAATGGCTTCTTTGTCGTTGTTTTTTCTGTTACTGCAACTGAGAAAGGTCGTTTCGGGCTTGTTTCTGTTACTGCTATTGAAAATGTCTCCATAGTCGTTGTCGTTTCTGTTACTGCAATTGAGAATGGCTTCTTTGTCGTCGTTTCTGTTACTGAAATTGAAAATGGTTTCCTTGTCGTTGTTTTTTCTGTTACTGCAACTGAGAAAGGTTGTTTCGTGCTTGTTTCTGTTACTGCTATTGAAAATGGCTTCATAGTCGTTGTTGTTTCTGTTACTGCAATCGAAAATGGCTTTTTTGTCGTCGTTACTGTTACTGCTATTGAAAATGGCTTCATAGTCGTTGTTGCTTCTGTTACTGCAATTGAGAATGGCTTCTGCGTCGTTGTTCTAACTGCAATTGAAAATGGCCTTTTTGTTGTTGTTTTCTCTGTTGTGGGTGGTGGAGCTTCTGAATGTCCAAAATGTGTAGTTTCCCCACTTCCTAATCTACCCGTAAAATAAAGTGTTGGGTAGGTAATTTTTGCTGTCGTTGGTTCTTTTGTGACATTTATACTGAATGGTTTTTTTGTTGTAATTCTTTTCGTGGTTTCATTTTCTGTTATAGTAAACAAAAATTTTGGTTTTGCTCGCTTGCAATATATTATTTTTATTTCCGCCCCATCTTGACCCTGTATTTTATGCGGGGTTGTGCCATGTATAATTATTCTCCTGATAAATTCTAATCTACTGGTTGTCCTTTTTTCAAATACTAAGGAACGGTCATATAACTCACTGTCTGTGTAGCTGTGTCTGGGCAATATGATTTCAACTATATCTCCCTCACTATTAGTTACTGTTCCAGCAGTTGTTCCTGGACGACTTTCGATGAATTTTATCTCTTGTTTATTTGGTCCTGTTATAGGGCGAGGTGTTCCTCCTGGACCTTGCGGCAGAATAAGTAGTATAATTTGTCCATCCGAGTTAGTAACAGCTGTTGGTTCTGTTTGGTTGTTGCAATATCGAGTCTTATCTTTCATTGTAACAGTAGTTGGTTGCGCTGTTGTTTCAATTTGTGTAATATTTATCTGTATTGGCCGTTTCGTTGTTGTTATTTCATGCAATGTAATTTCAACTGTATTTGCTGTTGTTGTTTGAGTTGATGGTTGAGTCAGTGTAATTTCCACCTGCCGTTTTGTTGTCTGCCTGAAAAAGAAAGTTTTATAATAGGTGTCATTTCAATATATTTTTTATAACTTTTATAATATATTTTCGTGTATCTTTTTGTAAATATATATTTTAATATTTTTTTTTATTATTTTTATATTTTATTCTGGGAGGGGTTTGGAGAGCTCAGCTTGGAGTTGATGAGCCCTTTAGTAAAATTTAATTTATCAAACGTAATATCAAGGAAAGAAATTGGTTTTGCTTACGTTTTTCGAAAAAAAAATTACGCTACTTCTTTTAATGAACTATATAAATTCTTAGAATTATTATGAGACAAAAAATAATTCAGTTCGACTGATTATTTAGTTATTTTTTATTCTTTTTTGTCTGAATCACCATGAGAAATGCTGTAATTTGATTATGTGTTTATGAATAAAAAAATCTAATCCTTTGAAACAACTCTATAATTAAAAAACAATCGTGCCTGGTATTAGCTCTGTACACTATTTCATAACCTCGTACAAAAAAAGGAAGAAAAAAAATTTGATTTAAATTGTTTTATGTATTTGAATCCAAAATAAAAAAAAAGATGCATCCAAATATCTTGAAATTTAGTTATCACATTATTATGGAGGAAAAGCAATAAAATAAAAATATGAATGAAAAAATTACAAGTGTGCTGTTAGAGATTTTCCTTTTTTTTTCTTGGAACATTATCGCATTTAACATTAGGCTAAATGCTGCGATGTTCCACAACATTTTCGGAATAAGATTAGGAACAGTGTTAAGAGGTTCAAGCAAATCTAAAATATCGTTTTTTGAAATATTATTTATTTCTCTCTACGGTTGACCAACATTTTGCTCGTGGGCCATCTTATGACTACAATACGAATAAATTATTATTATTATTTTGTAAAATAAAAAAATTGGATATTTTGAACCTCACATTTGAGAAGTCATCGCTTTTTGACTTGCTCAATTTTAGCAGATGCCATCTTATTTCTATGTGGTCTTACCATCACTTTTTTCAGCAATTATTGCCTGGGTTTTCGAGATGGAATATTTTTTAAGCTTTTATCACAAATTTCGAGTTTGAGCAATATTCGAGGCGCCTTATGTGCCGATTCATCATACTTCTAAGTTATTTTTCGATAGTTTTTTAGACAGTTATTGCTGCACTTTTTCGCATGGTTTTCCGTCCTGGTATTTTCAATACAATATTATAGCGAACACTTCAATTTCGAGTAGTACATTTAAGTAATCACTTTTTGACGAGCTTTGTTTGTACTGATTTTCATCACAAATTCAATTTGTGATTTTAGGATGTTTTTTAGCAGTTATTGCTTTTAATTTTAAAGTCCTGATATTTTTAACACGATATTATTAAGACACGTTAATTTTGAATCACACATTTAAATAATCGCTTTTTTTCGCGCATTTTTTTTATCAGATTTCATTGTAATTCGAAGAAATTCTTTAATCATTTTTTCGGCTGTTAATTGCTCTATTTTTCCAAGTGGTATATTTTTAATACGATATTATTATCACTCTCGAGTTATGAATCGAGCATTTAAATATTTCATCGTGAATCTATGCGGTTTCTCGAACATTTTCTTTGGGGAGTTTATGCCAGGCATACCCATATGCTGTTTAAAATTTTAATGCAGCATTATTACAGCATCCGAAATTTTAAAAAAAGTCTTCAAATTAGTGAATCTTTAAATGTCTATTGTTTGCAACTTTTCACATGTTTTTGAAGTTCAAAAAGTGCTTAAAAATCAAGTAATATGAAATTAACCTCTTTTAATTCATCAAATATCAATGTTTAAAAATTGAAAATATATTCCCAATGAAATGATGAATCTTATTTCAATCAATAATAGATTTGTTTCAAATTAAATAATCTTAGACCTCATAAATTTTCTTTAATTCAAGTTTTGAATTTGCATTTAAAATTTTATATAAATATATATATATATAGAAATNTACATCAAACTTCTACAGTTATAAAAAGTAAAATGATTTATGAAGATCCTGTTACAAACTGACTAAGTATGTTCTGCAACCATATTGCTTTTATTCTAGAACATAAAGCTTTTTAATTGTTCGAATCTTTTTTTTTCAAATTAACATTTGTTACGTTCTTTAGTAACTAATAAGTTGTTTAGATTTATTTCAATAAGATGTTTCGATTCGATAAGAGTACATGCTTTCTATAAGAAGGGTATATTTCTTCTTTAAAAAAAATATCAGCTTGGCACTCTTCAGCTTAAAATATTTGATTTATGTAAATATATCGACTGATAAAACGTTTTAGTGCTTAAAACAGTGTTGTTTTTATAATAATCGTCTTCAATATATCTATATACTACTTAGGCATGCAGCCCTTCATTTCTCAACATGCTGTGGAAGTGGTTCTTCATTTGAAAAATTTGTGTTCCCCATTATGCATATTCTCCAGGAAAATGTTTATAAAATCTGTCAAAAAGGGCAAATAACAAGCTCCAAACATTTTTGCAAAATTGTTTCTGGCTTTTTCAATTTTGTTGTTTTTTCAACAAAAAAAATTATTATTTGTTTGACTTTATAATTGGGCTTTCACTTTTTCGTTTATTAACGTCATGAGATTAGATTTTCCACTTTTTCTGCTCGAATAATATTTTTCGAAAACAATATCCTATATTCCATTGCTACAGAGTGGAATAACAGGTCAACATTATTTAAATCTACGTTTTACCTTTAACTAAAATCTGAATCATTTACTCTCAAAACTGAATCAGAAAGAGTTTCTAAAAAAACAATTGAGCAAAATTGTTTTTAGGTTTTTCAACTCTATTTTTTTTTAATCTAATTATTTGACTTTATAATTGGGCTTCCACTTTTTCGTTTAATATCATCGTGACATTTAATTTTCCATTTTTTTCTGCTCGAATAATATTTTTAAAAACAATATTCACTATTCCACAAACGTAGAATGGAATAAAAGGATCAAAAATATTTTAATTTACGTTTGCCATATAGCAGTCTTGTTCGTTTTGCTCTAACTGAAATATCAATCTAAATCATCTATTCACAAATCTGAATCAGTAAAAGTTTCTAAGACAATAATTGTTTATAGTATCGTTAAGAATCGCATAGAGAACCGTGGTGGCTCAGGGGATAGAGCTTTCGCCTTCCAATGAGATGACCCAAGTTCGAATCCCAGCGGTGGCTGTTTGATACGAATTATGCTCACGGCTGGCATCGGCCACAGTACAGACGTAAATTTATCTTCGGTGGTAGACGGATCATGGGTTAGAATCCCCTTGCCATCGGGCTAACTATGGGAGATTTTCGCTGATTTCCCCTCCTTGTAACTCAATTGCTGGTTAGTTCTATCAAAAGATTCTCCAGCAAGGCTAGATTGTCCCACTGTATGATCCAAGAGTTCCCTTGTTTTCTGAATCATGTTCAAAATTACATGGCTATGGATTGAACATTCATAGTCGTGAACTCAAAATCGGGTCAGTTATTCAACGCTGGTAATGAAATAATATAAATATAATTTTATAGACATCGTTCTTAGAACAAGCAAAAGTCGTAAATGAGAAACAAATACACCCTTTGCTTTTACTAATGTGGTAATAAATATATATCAGAAATTACCGAACTCACATAAATCAGAGAAGAAAAAATATAAAGCACAAGAGCATATTCAATATCATTAACAGGGAGTAACCCATTTAATGATGAATTTAACTCTATCATTATTAAATAACAGAATGAAAAGTATAACGCCCCCTGAAAGCAATCATCTTCAGGGGTCTGTTTAGAAGAAATGTAGGTCCATTAACGGACTCTTCACAAAATATATTTTCATAAAAACGGACCCTTCACAAAATATTTTAACTTTAAAACGGACCCTTCACAAAATGATTTTTCTTTTAATCGGACCCTTCACAAACTTGTTTATCTTCATTATTGTTTCTTTAATCGAATGAACCCTTCCCAGGGCAGAAAACAAGAAAGATGGATGTAAACGAATTAAGTTTTATCTTCGGTAGACAATTCTTCCATTATTCGTCCGAAATGAATATTCTGCTTTGAGCAGTATAGGCTAAATATCAAATATTTGTATGTTGCATCTCTAATTTAGAAGCTGCAATTGCAGTTTATTTTTGAAAATTAAAAATTTCTTATTATGATTTTACAGTTCCGAGCATAATCTTGTATCTATTTACAATTTAAAAACTCATTGAAAAAGTTTTTTGCAATAACCGGACCCTATTTGCACAAATTCATAAAAGCGGACCCTGGTTGAAAGAATGTGAGTAATTTTTTCACAATTTGACGAAAACCGGACCTTTCACAAAATGTCTGGACAGACCTCTGATCTTATCAGAAAGAATTTTCTTCTATAGTAGTTAGAATTTGAATTGAGAAAGATGTTGAACATGAAATACTGACCTGAAAATTCGCGTTCTTTCCTGCCTTTTATGGCCAATATAAGTTGAATCTAAGCTAGACGCATTCATCTTCCCTTTTCTAATTCTAAGTCGTTATTTTTCTTCAATGATTGTCATAATAGCAATTGAATGAAACGCACACTACTTAATTCACTGAATCAAGTGTCAAAAAATAGCTCTTGAAGCGCTATTGTTCCAGAAACGGAGAATCCAGTTTAACTTTAAAATAAAATTTTTAGTTTGATGCGCAAGCGTGGGTTATATTTTCCTCATAAAAATTCGTGAGTAATTTTTTCTTTTCATGAAAGTTGGACTTTTGGAAAATTAGAATACAAGCCAGTGGTAGAAATTATCACAGATTACGATACAATCTGAAGATTACTGAGCCGAAAAACAGTAAAATAATGGTTTTAATTCAATTACTGTTTGTATGTACTACTTACTCTTCTCCTCTACAGTCCATGAAGAACCCTGGTCTCTTTTAATGCTTTTTTAGGCTCCTAAAATATTTGTTTGCGTATCTGCAGATATTTAAGCAAAATAAAATTGAAGATTTTTCTAAAATTTCTAATGAAGTTCTTTAATTAACTGGAA